CAATAATCATTGTTATATGCAGTAAGAACTGAGTATTAGCCTAGATTAATACTTTGTAGCCTCAGCATCTAGGTGCTCAAAAGATGGTTCTCATCTTTTGTGTGTGTGGTGCTGGGGATGGAACCTGGGGCCTTGGGCATGTGAGGCAAGCACTCTACTAACTGAACTATATCCCTAAGCCTAGTTCTCAACTTCTTATAGTCATGGTACTATTTCAAATACCAAAATTTGGAAAAGACTTTTGAAGAGATCAACATTGAGTACATTAGCAATAAATCACTACTGGGTATGACAATACCTCAGAGTGCCTACGATGATCTCACAGTCATAATCCACCGTAGTCATTCGCCCTTGAGCACTCAGACTCTGCTCACAGACAAAGTGTTGATGCCCTCACAGTGCTCAAGGACATAATCCAAAAGATACACCATCTCTTTCCTGTACATTTCTCTTTGATGAGGGTTTGACTTATGTCATACCATTTTTCTTGCAGTAAATCTGTACCTTGTCCCACAAACAATTCAAATCAGCTCTGCTGAACAGACTACCTGTTAGCAGAATACTCCATTTATACACTTATCCAAATTGGGCCTCTATTTCAGAGCAAAGTGCCATGGTGGCACACCAGCTCAGGAGCAAGCCTGAACTTAAACATCCTTATCCCACAGACAAGCATACTACATCTAGGGGTAAGTAAAAACTATAGCTTAAAAAAAAGATTGACGCAACATCAGCAAGGGTCTTAAATAATATCAAAATGTATGAAGTAGACATAAGAAGCCATTAGTTTATTAGTGAATTTATTCATTTGACAAATATTTATTAACCTCTCTTTTGTGCTGGGTTCTCTCCTAATTGAGTATCAGTATACTATAAAAAGAGTTCCTTCTCCATGGAGTTGACTTTCCAGTAGGGGAGACAGATAATAACTGAAAACAATTTTAAGATTAAACAAGTAGATATATCATGAGTCAGGATTAGTGATAAGGGAAGGGCCATAGGGAAAAATGAAGCAGGATAGGGGAATTGAGAGTGGTAGAAGGGCTAGGAGTTATTTTACATAGTGTAGTCTAGAAATGACTCACTACTAGGGTGACATTTGAGAAGAGATGTGAAGGAAGTGAGAAAGCTTGGGTGGCAGATTCCTAGGAGAAGATTGCGAGCAGACGCATCAAAAGGTGCAGAGGCAGAGACCCTGAGGCAGCAGCACACCTTTATCAACAGTGGCCAGAGTGGCTGGAGAGGAATATTTGAGAGGAGCATAGTGGGAGATGAAGTCAGGAGGGGTACTGAGAAGTTGGGAGACCCAGCAAGTCAGATAGGACCTTCATAAAAGACTTTGGTTTCTGCTCCAAGTGAAATGAGAAACCAGTGGAGGGTTCTCAATAGAGAAGTAACATACAGAGTCCCTGATTTAAAATAGCCTGGCTTAGGATTTTTCAACTTTCATGCACCTTCCATGGAAACCATATTTTGAATTTTTTTTTCAAATTCTGAATTTTGATCTTTTTCCCAACTAGTGATACAGGTAGGATACTCAATTGTGACACTGGGTAACAACTATCAGTGCTGTTTCATGAGGTCATGAGATCATGAGAAGAAACATTTCATGCCCTACAGTGTGCTGTGCTGCTAAGCTGCAGTGTCAGGTAGGCTAGTTGTAATAGATTCATTCTTATCTACCATATTTTCAACTTAGGATTTGACGGGATGTATCCTCTTCTTAAGTGAAGATGCATCGTATTCTAACTTGTTTTTGAAAATGATAGCTCTGGAAAGATACAAGATGCAAATAGGTATAGAAGAGGAGAGATGACGATGATTATTCAAATGAGAGTGGTATCTGTGGAAGAGGTGAGAAGTAACTGAATCCTGCATATAGTTGGAAGGCAAAACAGAAATAATTTGCTAATGGGTTAGATATGAAACAGGAAAGAACAATAAAAATCAAAGATAACTCCAAGGCATTTAGATTGGGAATCAGAAAAGTAACATTCCCATGGATTAGGATAGAGAATACCACAAGAAGAGCAGTTTGGAATTAAAAAATTGTTTGGGAAAAGAGTAGTCTAATATTTTATGCTGTCTGAATCAGAAGTTGCTAACAGCATGTGTGTATTTAAATTTGTTTTAACTAAAATTAAAATTCAGCTCCTCAGTTGCACTCACCACATCTCAAGTGCCTCAGTACCCACCACATGTGTCTAGTTACTCCCCAGTGGACAGCACAGGTATTGTAGAGCATTTTCACCATGACCCATCATAGAAAGTTTCATTGAGTCACACTCTGGGGACTTTAAGCCTTTACTATGTTCTGGGTCATGTGCTATAGTGATTTACATATATTACATCATTAATGATTCCATTAATTGACTCAATGAGTCAAGAAATGCTATATCCTTTGACAAGGAACGTTATGGGTTCAGATAAGTACCTTCAGTAACATGGTTCCTAACAGAGAGAGAGAGTTGAATTCCAGAGTTGTCTGTGTTCAAAGCTCAAGCACTTAATCATCATACCGTATTTTAGAATTATTAAACTAGCTTGAAATCAGACAACCATAAATTCTAGTAGGTTACTGGCAATAAAACATTCAAGCATAGTAAAGAAAGCAGGAGATCTGATTAGTTCTAGGAAAATAGTAAATTTCCCAGGAGATCCTATTCATTGTGTAACTAAACATACTGCATCCCAGCATCCTATGGTTGAGAAAAGATAAAAATAATCAGTGAGGGGCACTGGTTTTAGATCTTTTGGTGAGAGATCAATCATGAAAAGATTGCTTAGCAGATAGACCTTAGTTGACAGCAGGTGGCATAGTTGGGATATACTTGTTCCCTCCTGTGATTTTCAACTTGGATATAGCACCATGCCCTCAGAGTACACCTGAAACTGCAGTGTTTGCGGTAAAATGGTGGATGTCATGGGCATTTTGGGGCCATGATCTTAGGCTGCTAAGATTTCTATGATGCATGCCATGTAGGGCAGAGCAAATTTCTCTCATCCAAAACATCAGCTGTTCATCATGTAAGAAATGTGGGCCTACTGCCCCTTGAGTGATCCTTCACTAGCCACAAACAAAGTAGGATAGGCAGAACACAGTAGCCAGTACACAGGTTGTATGGGCAGATAAAGTTGAGCTCCTACCTATTTTCTAACTTGCCCTTGCTGCATGGCTTGGGACCACTACCTAAGCTTTTATCCTTAGTCTCCTCATCTAAACAATGTGGAAAACCACAGTTAGCATATTGTTTGCAGAGGTCCTGAGAATTAAATACATTTCAAGTACTTAGTCCATTGTTTGGTTTAGGGAGAATTTTGAATAAGCCTACACAATTAATATAAGTGGAAAAGTGGGGTGAGAGAAGAACTCAAGCAGGGTTTCCAAAATATGTGGAACCCATATTTTAAATTTTTTTTCACATTCTGAATTTTGATCTTTTCCTGGACTACTAATATGAGGTAGGGCACTCAGCTGTGACCTAGATAACAGCCATCAGTGCAGCTCCATCAGCCAAGAGATCATAAGAAACAGTTCGCTGCTAAGCCGTGATGTCAGGTAGGCTAGGTGTAATAGATGCATTCTTACCTATCATATTTTCAACTTCGGATGGGTTTGATGGGATGTGTCCTCTCTGTAAGTGGAGATGCCTCCATATTCTTAAACAAGCAAGATGCTAATTCATATAGAAAAGAAGTCTGAAATAACACTGTCCAATAAAAAAAATATATAGATACAATGCAAGAACATGGGATTTTTTAGTTTTTTTCCTAGCCACATTCTAAAAACTTAATGAACAGGTAAAATTAATTTTATTTGTATTTAGATAACCAACTATATTAAAAATATGACTTAAATATGTAACTAATATAAAAAATACATTAATAAGGTATTTTACTTTTCATTCCATGTCTTTGAAATCCCATGTGTACTACTCAATTCAGATTAGCTACATTATCAGGTGTTCAATAACCAATAACTCGAAGGCTAAGGTATCAGTGAGAAAGCCTAACTCTTTCGCTAACTGCTACCTTTAGGTAATTCTTAAGATTCTTACAGCTAACATCTCAGCACATGGAGGCTGACTTTAGAAAAGTCTCAATTAGTATTATTATTTCAGCTTTAAACTATTTCTCACAAACTGAGATGAGGCAATGTTGTGGAATAACTAAAAACATCAAGTGGACATGACCTGTTAGTTTCACAATTCAGCTCTAAAACTTCAAGCTGTCCTTGAACAAGTTAGCTAGTCAAATATATGCTCCCTTATTTGCAGAATGGAGATAACAATGCCAGCCCCTAATGTTACTCTGTGGATCATGTACACAGAGCTTAAGCCCAGTGCCTACAACCTATTTCTCCAATGTGAATTGTGGAAATTTGTGTTTGGGTTTTGAGAAATGGAACTCAGGTTCACTAGAATTCTAATTATCTTCATATTGCATATTATGTATATTTGTGTACAAATTCACACAGGAAGTATATTTTAGAACTGTATTACTTTCATAACTTTTGATAATGAACACATTGTGTTCTTCTAACACTGTGATGTTCCTCAAATGGAGGACAACAATTTGTCCATTGTGTTCAATGTTAGAGGACCTCAGCCTCTAAGATAATTCCTGGCACTTGGTAAGTCTACTAAATATATTTTTAGTTGCAGAAATCCTAAATAATATTTATAAGCAAACCATTAAAACTATGATTTTTGCCATTAAGGTAATTGAATCTGCATTTTAATATTTAAATTATAAAGTTTATGTAGCTGCCTTTTAATGAGAACAGTTTCTACCAGAAATGTAAATTCCTCGAGTTAGCACAAAGTTCAGCGTAGAGCAAACTCTACACTGTTTGCTGTGCTGTATTGTTGCAAAAGCAGCTCTTCATATAAATCACCAGCACAACATAGTACCCTCAAGAATACCTCAGAATTTATTCAATTCACAATTATTAAATATATCACTAGTTTCCTATAAAGTTAAAGAATACATACAACATGTATTAGCACAAACACATTTATTTACTAACCAAAGGGATGATCTTAGTTAAACCAACACTTTGAAATAGTTGCATGTAAAATGCTTGTAATAGAGATAATTGAACACAGTAATGAAAAAAAAAAGGCAGTCTGGAGATTGGCTCATTGAACTGAGCTTCTTCATTCTTTCAGCTAATTCCTGTCCAAAGTGATGATGGAATTTTTACTCTACTTTCTCATAGACTCGAGTACAGGTAACATTATTCATGACACACTCCTAGGAGAAAGAACAACATTAAAGAGTTAGGCTGGTCTTATATTCCAGAGTCATTGTGGTAATGAAATGTTAGGATCAAAATCCTAAAAGATCTTATAATCTACCTTGCAGAAGGAAACAACCTGTTTTTAGGAGAAGCTAGAACCCATTGTTTAGTTTATACTAAACGATATGCATATACTTTCCTGGAAACTAAAGTGTTGAATATAGTATCTAAATAAAATGGAAAAACATATACCCATGAAGGCAGCTTGGTGGCCTGCCAAGACTATGTGGTGATGCAGCAGTTGAGCAAGGAGGAACCCAGATCCAGCTCCATCCCATGTTAAATCATGTCACTTCTCTATCCCACCAACGTCTATCTTGGTAATGAGTGTTCTTGTATTTAACTTGTTATTTTGCATTTTCTTCTTCCCAAGTTTAGCTCTCCTGCTCATGACCAATGGACGTAGGAGTTATGACAACTCGAAGTACAAGATGTAAGCAGTTTGACACTTACCACCACTAACTTCCCATCTTTCAATTTTCTTGTTATTGTGCTTTCCTTCCCATCCCATTCCTGATGCTGAACCAATGCATCATCAACAAAGCTGCAGACCGTCTGCAGAAACAAAGTACACATTTTAATCTTCCAAAATATAAGAGTTTGCATGATTCATAACCCTCCTTAATCAACATTTTTTTCATCTTCTCCTTTCTGCAGCTACTTCATCAACCATACTGATTTTACACATAATATACTTTCTGCTTTTCAATCTAGAACCTCACAAAAGACACTCATTCTATGAAGCTGGTACTTTTATAATTTTTCAAAACTCAATTTACAAAATAATTCTTTTGACTATACATGGTAAAAATGTCATTCATACAATTTATCATTATTAGAGCTGACCTGAGTTTTTCTGCCATCAGCTGTAGTTTCTTCAAACTTCTCTCCCAGGGTACAAGAAAACTGTGTTGTTTTCAAAGTGCTTTCAGTTTTTATGTTGAGCTTCTGGCCGTCAAGGGTGATGATACAATCTGGTTTGGCCATTGCGCCCATTTTCCTCATAGTCAGTCCCACTCCTGTAGAATATTAAATATCAGAAGACCAGTTATAATTTATGTAATAAAAGCAATAATTCAATTACAATCACTATGCCTGGCATATTTTCATTTATTTGCTTATTGTGAGCACATATTCAGTGCTTTCCATGTGCCAGCATATTACAAATATTTGTTATTCCCTAACGTTATTTACTCAAAGTAGTTCATTAAAGGTAAAGATAAAGGATTCAAAATTGCAAACTTGAAGTTCTCTCATCTTTTTCTATTTGCACCAGATTATGCCAATCACTTTATTCTGACCCCAGCATACAGTCTGGCACATAAAAGGCTTTTTAAAAAAAATATTTTTTTAGTTATACATAGACACAATGTCTTTATTTTGTTTATTTATTTTTATGTGGTACTGAGGATCAAACCCAGTGTCTCATATGTACGAGGCAAGCACTCTGCTCCTGAGCCCCAGCCCCAACCCCATAAAAGGCTTTTGATAAACAATTAATAGACTACACAAAACAATAAAAAAATCAATTCTGAGATATTTAAATAGGCAATGTTTTGAGTTATCAGCACAATCATGATGCTAATAAATGGGGAAAAAAATCTTACCCTGAAACATAGAAAACATTTCAAAGCTGTAAAACTCAACACACTATTTTCTATTTTCCAGGATAAAAATTTTTCCATTTATTAGCATTCAGATCATAGGGCTAACTCAAAACATTATACTATTTGAATACCTTTGAATTGATTTGTTTTCTATAGTCTATTAATTACTATAGTTATATAGCTATGAAGTTTCACATTGTTATATATTAAGTTACATATTAATCATCATTTTTTTCCTGTTGGTGTCAACAGTCATAAGGAACTTCTGAGCCAGGTGAAATCTCTGTTTCACAAATAAAACCATACTGTAAGGAGACTGCCAGTTTTTTTCAGAACACTCAACCAGGCTTTCAATGTCCTTTTAGAGCCTTCTCTTTTACCAGCTCAAGGCTGGTGGCTTTTGTTCTTAGTTAAGTCACTATTCTCAGTCTGGACAAAATAAATGAGCTGTTCTTCCCACACACCTTGACTTTTCCCTAATGAGCCTTGATAACCTTCATGACTTCTGAATCCTGGATACCAGCCATCCTGACCCTAAGCACACATGCACTTTCAGTGGCAGAGAAACGGTGTTCATTATTTGGTCCTCACAACTGTGAGGACACAAAATCTGTCATGTTTTGAAAGAGTACAGTAAATGGCTTTTCCCAGAGTCATTTTGGTCACTGCAACAAGTGGTCTTGTTTTGTTGATGGTGTGAGTAAATACACTCATGATTCACCACAAACCAGCCTTAACCGCACACTGTCTTGGATAAAGCAGGTGCAGGAATGATTCTGAAGTGCTTGGTGACAAGATGTCAAGAGAGGGTCACTGTAGTGACTTCACCAGCGAGCTACCTTAAATATCAGTTTCTGAAGTAGCCTCCTAGTCCCAGCAGGCCCTCAACTCTGGGAACCCCCTTCCAGAGAGGAGACATGCTAAGCTAACTCCATCCCACTTCCTAATGGCCTGTGACAAAGGTCTATTTTTTTGTTTGCTGTCTGTCCAATGTCAACCACCATGCAATTGCTGTCACTGGTTTAGAAAAGGACAGCATTAGAAAATGAAGTACTATTTCCAGTGAGAGAATCTTCCTACATAGACTCATTCTTTGAAGACTATAAGGACTCAAGTGCCTTCTGTAGGGCCACACCCATTTTGTAGAAGTTAGCAGCAGCAGCTGCAGGCTAGCAGTTTCTGGATTGCAGTTTTCCCACCGAGCCCACTGTATTCGCGCCCCTCACCCTGGGAGAAGGCAGTAAAGCCATTCCCAGGCACAATCTGTCTCACCGCGCTCCTCCCACAGGCCGACCGCCCACTGCGGCGCCTAGACTGACAACGCGGGCAGCGTATCACCGCTGCCAGCGCCACACCCGGCCCAGGCCAGGCGGCCCCCGGTGCCACATGGGGAGCTGAGCCAACCCTACTGGCCTGGCTTACCGGTGAGAGAGGGCAGTGGACCTGGGAAAGATGCGGGCAAGTACAGTACCTAAGCTGAAGCCTAAGCCTCATTCAGAGCCTCTACAGGGTTTCTGCTGAGACCGTGCCCTGCCACACCATCTCCCGGTGGAGATGAGGGAAGCAGACTTGCGCGCCATCGAGGAACAAAAGATACAGCAGGGTGGAAAAGGGACTGGGTGTTGCCACGATGGGATGGATGGGAGAGAGAAAAGGATGGTGGCACGAAGGATGGGGGCAATGAGTGCTGGGAAAAGAAAAAGGGAAAGTTAGGGGGCCCCCCAGGAGGTAATCGAAATTAGTGCACCTTGTGGGTGGGGCGCGCCAGGTAAAGAACTGGAAGCAGTTCCAGGAGGCTGTCGCGTGGGCGAGGGGAAAGAAGTAGAAGAGGATTGGGGGAACCCCGAGGTGGCACATCTCCGGCATCTCCGGAGACCCGAGCGCTCCTCGCTCCTAGCTGACTGCCCGCGTGGTGCTGCGCCGCCAGGAACCGCATGGTGGCGAGGCGATGGGAGGGATTAGGAGGTAAGGAGCCGAGCATCTCTTCCCCACCCCGGATCCCAGCATGCTGATGGGGACATAAGACAAAACGGCCACACACATGCCACGTTGCAGGCGTTGTGGACGCTTGCCAGGCTGGGTGCCTCACCTAGTTCTTTCATGTAATCATCAAAGCCTTTGCTGTCCACCAGGCGCCATCTTCCTTCCAGCTGCTGAACAGTGGCCATGGTGGGCGCGGGCGGGCTGGTGTACGCGGCGAGGGGAGCTGCTGGGAGCAGGATAGCGTGCTCTGCAGCGCCAGGCGCCACGAGGCTTTATAAAGACAGCGGCGCGGGGCGGCGCCCGGCAGCCAATGGGAGCCGCGCCTCGCCCAGCCCCGCCTCCGCGCGCCCCTCGGACTTGCCTAGCGGGGTCGGAAGGTGCGAACCGGCTCCACCTGCCGCTAACCCAGGGTTTCCGCTGCAGGTCTTGCAAGTGCGGACTCGCCCGGCGCGCCCCACGCCTCTCCGGACGCCAGCCCCTGCACGATTTGTCGTTTCCGCACGCCCAGCAAACCAGAGGGGGCGACTGGGAGGCCTGGCCGCCAGCCTAGCACCCTAGGGTCAGACCATGCAGCTGAGCGTTTTTCCTTCCAAAATACCTGGAGGAATCCATTAGCCCTCGCCAGGCGCGGTTGGATGGAATTGATTGATCTGCCCTTTGGTGGGGTGATTGATAACTGCTTTACCTCCTTAACTTTCTGCTCTTTTGTCAGTCGACAAAGATGTGTCTGCAACCCACTTCCTGCTTTAAGTGCTTTCCCCACCCGCAGGCCACCCCTGGCCTCAAGAGTGCCTCTGGGTGTCTGTACGCTGGAGTTGAGCTAGACAGTTTTATCAGAAGCTGCTGGGTGAGATGGGGATCCAGGAAATTCAGTTTGTAAACTAAAACTCTATAGGAAGTTTTAAGTAACTATCACTGCCATTCAGGAATGTTTATTACCTTATACTCCCCTATAGGAGAGCAAAAAACAACTTTCTTCCACCCTTCTAGGTTTTTTGGCTGGACTATGAATTAAAATAACATAAAACACGTTTACAGGAGAAAACTCATATTTAATCACGTTCATATACACAGGAGTCCCACAAAACATGAGGCTCCAAGAAAGGTCAAATGATTGAAGTTTAGGAAGCATTCAGATCTACAGAAAGTAAGGGTTTGGAACTTTAGTGGGTAATGGGCACACAAGTTATAGGAAGGTGATTGGAGGAATTATATGAATAAAGATTGTCTTGTGATGCAGGTAAATTCTCTCATGGAATAAAAGTTGTTAGTGAAACAACCATACAATCATTCTGTTTTTCACTTTCAGTACAGAATTTTAGTAGAGTACACGAGATTTTCCACACTGTTATAAAATAAGCTTTGTGTTAGATGATTTCCCTCAACTGTGGGCTAATGTTAAGTATTCTGAACATGTTTGCCCAAAAATAGGTTCAGTAGGTTAGATATAGTAAATGCATTTTCAATTTACATAGTATTTTCAATTTATGATGGATTTATCTAGAGGTAATCCCATACTAAATTGAGGACCATCTGTAGTAATGTAGATTTCATTTATAAATGTACATTCATTGTACAAAGAACAGCTTTTCAAAGCTTTTCTGTACACAGTTTTTCAGAATAACCAACTCAAAATATGCCAAAGAAGTGTATGTGGGGGTAGCACATTCTGGTCTCCTACAGTCATTTTGAAAGGGTGTGTACTACTGAGGTCCGCACCCCACTGATTGAGCTCTTTAGAGTTTCTTCTCAGACTCATGAGCATTCAGACTCCAGCAATTTCCCTTTTCACTTCCACCTCTAATAATTATTTGTGGTTATCTAACTCTGTGCTCTCCTGTTTTATTGGCAGCAAGATGGGAAATACTCAGTGAGGTGAGGAACTTGCTATGCAGGTTGACTGTTGTCATGGAGATAGTGTTAATTTATTGAGTACCTACTACATGGTAGATACTGTACTTCCTGGCATTTATACCCACTAACTCTAGTTTCCACTGAACTTTTGCTAAGAGGTATTACTCCAACTTTTCAGAAGAGGGAGTAAGGTAAGGAAAGTTTGCACCCCGGTGGTAAAACCAGAATCTCCATCCAGGCCCTTCTTACACAAGACCTTGTGAAATAGGACCACACCTGATTGCCTTTTGTTCATTGTACTTGTGATGAAGCCGACAGCAGAGGCCACAGTCACCATGCCAAGACACCTCAACGTGACTGCTATCTCCCAACATGCTCTGGACATTTCCTCCCTGTGCTACTTTTTTTTTTTTTTTTTTTGGTCAAACCTTGCTCTAATTTGAGAGTCCCCTCAGTCTTCCTGTGGTACTGAATAACTCAGGTCATGTGATTGTACCCAAAAGGGGGGTCTACATGCCCCACACCCAAGGCAGTTTTTATCATCTATAAAATTAAGATGAGAATTAGATTAGCTGATTTCTTAGATCCTTTCTAGACTTCAGATCTGGTGTTCTGAAGGAACATCACTGGCTTCAAGGTACAGGTTGCCAGCTTCCAGGCAGCTCCTCTGTTCCGAATGTGCTACTTCAACATGTTTTATCCATTTTTGCATATAACATGTAACAATCAGGATTCAGTACTGGGGTAAAATTTTTAGATTATCGCAATCAACCATGTTACAGAAGTAGCAAAAGGAGAGTGGCCCCACAGTATGAGATAACTTAAGTGCCTAAGAGGTAGCTCTTAACCCTTCGACGTTACCTAAAACTTAACTTTTAGGCACAATCTTTGCTATGATGAGTAGAAATAATCCTTTTTGTGATTAAATAAATATTAAAAAGGAATAAGGCTAAAAAACCTGTTAATATCTCCCACAGAACAAAGAAGGGCATAGTGATTGTTCTGCCACTCGGAAAACATATTTAATGCTTTGTTCTCGCATGCCTCGCTGATCAGCTGAGGGGTGTGTGTGTATGTCTGTGTGTGTGTGTGTGTGTGTGTGCGCGCGCCTGTGTGTATGTATACACAAATCTGTTACCATTACTTTTAGGAAAGGAAGAGAATCAGAATATTAGAACTTGAGGGGTATTAAAAAGAACCTAGTGCAATCATATTTTTTTTTCAAGCTCTGAAAAGCATTAAGTACTCCATTCACCTGCTAAGGGAAGCCATGCTCTAGGTTGCTTAACTTGAGCACAATATGAAGTGTACGAAATAAAGATGTTGTGAAAATGAATTGATTAAATTCTCATATGACTTTATGGGGATAGTTGAGTATTTCTTCATTGGAAAAATAGAAGAGAATTACCACTTGATTGGGGTTAATTACAATATAGGAAACAAGGAACAATAATTTTAACCTCACCCATTTTTACTAACATTTAGGAACTGTTCTGGTCCTTGTTTTTGGTAACAGCACATACGTAATATAAGTGACCCATCATATCTTCCTACATGTTGGAAGAATAACACATTATTCTTACAAATGAAAAGGACTAAAGAACCAAGAATTACAGGCAACTTTTCCTCCAGTTGCTCTAGAAGATTATCTTTTGTAAGAGAGATGCAACTTTACTTAATATGCTGAACTTCAATTTTATCATCCATGAAATTTAGGAGATGGGAATCAGCCTGATTTCTTGGATTCCTTTCAGCTTATGAAATATTCCAACAGATCATGGCCACAAAAGTTTACACACAAAATTACTCTATTTCCACCTAGTGGTGAGAAGGTAATATTTCTTGTAGGCTTATTTCATAAAAGTTGGCAGGTTGTCTCACCTTCATATTCTAGTCACACAACATAGCTTTGGAGTACACTGCGTAATGTTATTTAAAGACAACCTTCCAGTGACAGTTTATGTAGATAAATGTGCTGCCAACAAGTTGATTATAATGTATAATCATTTCTAAAGACAACAAGCATTGATGAGCTAGAAGCACGCAGCTGGTGGGGAAAAAGAGCGAACCCCACGTTGAATAAATTATGGCAGAGAATACCCAAAGTAATTGTTGTTCAGACATTAAGTCTTCTCCCAGTATCTGGCCAGAACAAAGAGTGGAGGCCATGGGGACACAGGAATCACTATTCAGTGGCACTTCCCAAATGTATTTGAGTAAACAAATCACTTGAGAATCTTGTTAAACTGCATATTCGATTCAGTAGGTCCAGAGAAGGACACCAGATCATGCATTTCCAAAAAAAAAAAAAAAAAAAAAAACAAAACATGCAGGTGCTTCTGGAACCATGCTTTAAGTAGCAACGTTATAAAATACGCAAGAATCCACTTGTTGACTTTGCCACTAAGGGATAATTCTGACTTCAGTATTTTTTCATATCCCTATAAAATATTTTCTGATTACATCCTCTTTATTGGTGCATATTAATTATACCTAATGGTGGATTTCGTTGTGGCATATTTGTGCATATATAAAAACATAATTTGAAAATTTTCACTCTCTAGTACCTCCCCTACCCCATCCTCCTCCCTTCTTTCCTTAGACCCTCTTCTTTTACCACACTGATCCCCCACCCCTCTAATTTCTAAGTCCCCTTTTTTTTCTTTTGTTTTTCCTTGTTGTTTCCACATATGAGAGAAAACATACAATACTATTCTTTTTAAGTCTGGCTTATTTCATTCAAAATTATGGTTTCTGGTTCCATCTATTTTTCTGAAAATGACATAATTTTATTCTCCTTTTGGCTGAATGAAACTCCATTTTATCTGTATGCCACATTTTCTTTACCCATTCATCTGTTGACAGACACCTTGGCTGATTCCATAATTTGGCTATTGTGAACTGTGCTGATTATATCCTTGTATGAAAACATACAGTCAGCCCTCTACAGCACACATTCTGCATCTGCAGGTTCTACCAACCACAGATTGAAATAATTTTTAAAAATATGTCTGTACTGAAATGTTCAGACTATCTTTTCTTATCATCATTTTCTTAAACAATATGATGTAAAAACTTTTTACCGAGGTTTTGTTGTTGTACAAACTCCTGAGATTGAATCCAGGAGTGCTCAACCACTAAGCCAAATCCCCTGCCCTTTTTATTTTATTTATATTTTTTATTATTAATTGTTTAATTTGTACATGACAGCAGAATGCATTACAATTGATATTACACATATAGAGCACAATTTTGCATATCTGATTGTGTACAAGGTATTTTCACACCAATTTGTGTCTTCATACATGTACTTGGGATAATGATGACCATCACATTCCACCATCATTTCTAACCTCATGCCCCTTCTCTTCCCTTCCCACCCCTTTGCCTATCAGAGTTTGGCTATTCCTCCCATGCTCCCCCTCCCTATCCCACTATGAATCAGCCTCCAAATATCAGAGAAAACATTCAGCATTTGGTTTTTTGGGATTGGGTAACTTCACTTAGCATTATCTCCTCCAACCTGCAAATGCCATGATTTTATTTTCTTTTATTTATGAGTAATATTCCATTGCCGCAGTCTGGCTGGGCACAAATAACTGAGCCGCCACAAAGCCTTGTAGATTCAAACAGCAACTCTTTATTTCCGAACTCTCACCGGCACTCTCACACACTTCCCAGGAGCACACTCCCCCCACCAGGCTCCGCGCGCCAATTCTCCCAAGAACTCAAGGGGAACTCCAAAGTAGGACCCGCCCTAATCCTGGAGCCGCCCTATTTGCAGGAGCCGCCCTATTTGCAGGATCCGCCCTAATCCCAGAGCCACCCTATTCCCCCTCCCTAATCCCAGAGCCGCCCTATTCCCAGAGCAGGGTCACCTTTCAACCATTCCCTCTGGCAAAAATGCCAGGCGTCATTCCGACTAAACTGTGGCTCTCAACAATTTGTGTATAAATGCCACATTTTAAATCCATTCATCTACTGAAGGACTTCTAGATTGGTTACACAGTTTAGCTAATGTGAATTGTGCTGCTATAAACATTGATGTGGCTGTGTCCCTGTAGTAGGCTGTTTTTTTTAAGTTTTTGGGGTATAGACTGAGGAGAGGGACAGTTGGGTCAAATGGTGGTTCCATTCCCAATTTTCCAAAGAATCTCCATACTGCTTTCCATATTGGCTGCACCAATTTGCAGTCCCACCAGCAGTGTATGAGTGTACCTTTTTCCCCACATCCTCGCTAACACTTATTGTTGTTTGTATTCATAATAGCTGCCATTCTGACTGGAGTGAGATGAAATCTTAGAGTGCTTTTAATTTGCATTTCTCTAATTGTTAGCAATGATGAACATTGTTTCATATATTTGTTGAGTGATTGTATATCATCTTCTGAGAAGTGTCTGTTCAGTTCCTTGGCCCATTTATTGATTGGGTTATTTGGGGTTTTTTTGGTGTTTAACTTTTTGAGTGCTCTATCTGATGTGTGAAGGTAAAAATTTGCTCCCAAGATGTAGGCTCTCTATTCACCTCACAGATTGTTTCTTTTGCTGAGAAGAAACTTTTCAGTTTGAACTCACCCCATTTATTGATTCTTGATTTTAACTCTTGTGCCACAGGAGTCTTATTAAGGAAGTTGGAGCCTAATCCCACATGATGGAGATAGGGCCTACTTTTTTTTCTATTAGATGCAGGGTATCTAGTTTTATTCCTAAGTCCTTGATCCGTTTTGAGTTAAATTTTTTGCATGGTGAGAGATAGGGATTTAATTTCATTTTGTTGTATATGGATTACTAGTTTTCCCAGCACCGTTTGTTGAAGAGGCTATCTTTTCTCCAATGCATGTTCTTGGCACCTTTGGCACCCTTGTCTAATATAAGATAATTGTAGTTTTGTGGATTAGTCTCTGTGTCCTCTATTCTATACCATTGGTCTACTAGTCTGTTTTGGTGTTGTTTTTGTTACTATTGCTCTGTAGTATAGTTTGAGATCTAGTATAGTGATGACACCTGCTTCACTCTTCGTTCTAAGGATTGCTTTAGCTATTCTGGGTCTCTTATTTTTCCAGATGAATTTCATCACTGCTTTTTCTATTTCTATGAGGAATGCCATTGGGATTTTGATCGGTATTGCATTAAATCTGTACAGTGCTTTTGGTAGTATGGTCATTTTGATAATATTAATTCTGCCTATCCAACAGCAAAGTATATCTTTCCATCTTCTAAGGTCTTTGATTTCTTTCTTTAGGATTCTGTAGTTTTCATTGTATAGATCTTTCATTAAGTTGATTCCCAAGGCTTTTTTGTTTTGTTTTGTTTTGTTTTGGTTGTTGTTGTTGTTTGAGGCTATTGTAAATGGGGTAGTTTTCCTCATTTCACTCTCAGAGGATTTGTTACTGATATACAGAAATGCCTTTGATTCATGGGTGTTGATTTTATGTCTTGCTACTTTCCTGAATTCATTTACTAGTTCTAGAAGTTTGCTGATGGAATTTTTTGGGTCTTCTAGGTATAGAATCATCATCAGCAAATAATGCCATTTTGAGTTCTTCTTTTCCTATGTGTATCCCTTTAATTTCTTTCACCTGTCCAATTGCTCTGGCCAGTGTTTCAAGAGCTATGTTAAATACAAGTGGTTAAACAGGGCATCCCTGTCTTTTTCCAGTTTTTAGAGAGAATGCCTTCAGTTTTTCTCCATTTAGAATGATGTTGGCCTGGGGCTTAGCATAGATAGCTTTTACAGTATTGAGATATGTTCCTGTTATTCCTAGTTTTTCTAGTGTTTTGAACATGAAGGGGTGCTGTATTTTGTCAAATGCTTTTTCTGCATCTTTTGAGATGATCATATGATTCTTATTTTTAAGTCTATTTTTAAAAAATATTTTTTAGCTGTAGTTTGACATAATACTTTTGTTTTATTTATTTATTTTTAGATGGTGCTGAGGATTGAAACCAGCACCTCACACGTGCTAGGCAAGTGCTCTACTGCTGAGCCGCAGCCCCAGCCCTTCTTTAAGTCTATTGATGTGATGAATGAGCCACCCTTGCAGCCCTGGTGTATCATATCTTTTTGATATGTTTTTGTATTCGATTTGCCAGAATTTTATTGAGACTTTTTGCATCTATGTTCATTAGAGATATTGATCTGAAGTGTTCTTTTTTTGATGTGTCTTTGCCTGGTTTTGGAATCAGGGTGATATTGGCCCCTTAGAATGAGCTTGGAAATGTGCCTCTTTTTCTATTTCCTGAAATAAATTGAAGAGTGTTGGTATTAGTTCTCCTTCAAAGGTCTTGTAGAACTCAGCTGTGTATCCATCCAGACCTGGGCTTTTCTTGGTTGGTAGGCTTCTGATGGCTTCTTTTATTTCATAGCTTGAAATTGATCTGTTTAAATTGTGTATATCGGGGCTGGGGATGTGGCTCAAGCGGTAACATGCTCGCCTGGCATGCGTGCGGCCCTGGTTCGATCCTCAGCACCGCGTACAAACAAAGATGTTGTGTCCGCCGAAAACTAAAAGAAAAAAAATAAGTATTTTAAAAAAAATTCTCTCTCTCTCTCTCTCTCTCTCTCTCTCTCTCTCTTTTAAAAAAAAATAAATTGTGTATATCATCCTGATTAAGTTTGGGCAAATCATATGACTAGAAATTTGTCAATGCCTTTGATATTTTCTATTTGATTGGAGTGCAAGTTTTCAAAATAATTTCTAATTATCTTCTGTATTTCTGTGAGCCTGGGTCCTTATGCAGGCCAGTGTGGGCAGATCTGGGCTGGTCCTGCCATCCCGCAGTAGTCCACTGGTGGGATGGGGAGGTCTCTTGCTGGAGCCCTTTTATTTTTTATTTTGAGATAGGGTTTTGCTAATTGATGAGGCTGGCTTTGAATTTTCAATCCTCCTCCCTCAAACTTCTGAGCCACTAGGCTTACAGGCGTATGCCATCATACCCAGCCAGAGCATTTATTTTATATTAGGTATTATAAGCAATCTAGAGATGAGTTAAAGTACCTAGGAGGATGTGGGTAAGTTCTATAAAAATACTATATTATGTTATATTAGGGACCTGACCATCTGCTGATTTTGGTATCTATAGGGTCCTGGAACTAATCCCCCAAGGATACCAAAGGACAAACAGGAAATTGAACAACTCACTCCAAAAATTTTTTACTCAGCTTTTGAACTTTTCCTAATTAGCATGAGGCAATTATTCTTCTGTCTGCTTACGAGGAAACATGATAAGAGGCTTCGGATGATATACTGGGATGAAGAGGTTAGAGACAATGTTTATGTAAATCTAATATGTCCCTTAAATTTTGTAACAAGTTTGACCTTCCTTTTTTCTGGTTTGTTTTTCTGTAGATATGCTTTGCATGCCTAGCTTCTAACCAAATATCCCATAAGAAAATCCCATTTGTAATCAGTTCTAAAAGAAAATCCTAAGAAAGTGGTAGATCATAGACCTTCCTCTTGTCTATTATCTCTAATAGCAAAATTTCCCAGATGAGAATAAAGTGGGAGGCCCATAAAGTTTAAGGCGTATCCTGAATGTTAAATTAGAAATCTTTCAGTGCATATAGTCACAAGGAAATATGAGTGGCTACTGCCCATCAATTGGAGGTTGTTTTGTTTTGATTTTCATTTTATGAACTTTTTCCTTTTCCTTTAAGCAGTTTTATTCTTATACAACTTGATGGGTTGGATCTATTAGTTATACAATTGATGGGGTATTTTAGAAACTTTAAAAAAAATCCATCATAAATATGTTTGTTGAAATAAATGGACTAGAAAAGAGCTAGAAGAAAAATGATATATTGCAAAAGTAAAAATAATAAAAGGTGATTTCAAATAAGGTAGAAAACAGGACTCGTAACACAAGCTCTTAGTGCAAGATTAATGCACTTTTCTTATTTACATACATATTCACACTGTCCAGACATACGCATTATTGGATTTTGCATTTGGTATTAGCTCATAACAACAGATTGCAAAAATATGTGTTTAAGCTAACCTTTTCATGCCTCATATGGGCAGTGTTCAAAGGTTTAAAACACAATACAAAAGGAGGCAGCCTGAAATGGGGTAGAAAGATGTTTGCAAAGCCATCCCAAGGCTGTACCAATTTGGGTGCCTTTTCTTTTCTTTCCCTTGTCTGATTGCCTGGCTAAGACAATCAGTGCTGTGTTGAATAAATGTGGTGAAAGTAGATATACTTATCTTGCTCCAAATCTTACAGAGAAAACTTTCAACTTTCCCACATTCAGTATGTTGGCTATTGACCCTTTTTATGTTGGTATATATTTCTTCTATACCTGATTTGTTCAGAGTTTTTAATTACGAAGGAATGTTGAAATTTATCCAGTGACTTTATGCATCTTTTGGAATTATCATAAGGTTTTTACCCTTTATTGAATTGATAGTGTGTATTACATTTATTGATTTGCATCAGGCAGACATTACAACTGATACCACAGAAACAGAAATGACCAATAGAGATTATCATGAACAACTATATGTCAACAACTTTGAAAAATGGACAAATTCCTGGACACATACACTCTACCAAGATTGAATCAAGAGAAATAGAAAACTTGAACCAGCCAATAACAAGTAATGAGATTAAATTAGTAATAAAAAGTCTCCCCGCAAAGATTCCAGGACCAGATGGTCTCATTCCTGAGTTCCACCTAATATTTAAAGAAGAACTAATAGCAATTCTTAAATTCCTCCAAAATACTAAAGAGAAAAAATTCTTCCTAACATATTTTACAAAGGCAGTATTAGCCTGATACAAAAACTAGACAAAGACACATAAAAAGAAAACTTTAGGCCAATATCCTTGATAATACAGCACATTATAAAGATTATTCATCATGATTAAGTGAAATTCATCCCAGGAATACAAGGATGTTTAATATATACAAGTTATTTTTAATTGTTAAACAATAATTGTTTATATTTATGGGATACAATGTGATAGATGCATAAAAATAAAATACTGAGGAATAACTTTAATCAAGAAGATAAAGAGAAATTATACATGGACAAGATACAATTGGCTAGGTGCAGTGGTGCATGCCTGTGGTCCCAGCAGCTCTGGAGGCTGAGATAGGAGAATTGAGCATTTGAAGCCAGCTTCAGCAAAAAAGTGAGGCACTAAGCAACTCATTGAGATCCTGTTTCTAATAAAATACAAAATAGGGCTGGGGATGTGCGGGGACATGCTGTTATGCTCGAATTCGGGACCCCCAAAGACCACCAGAGACCCAAGATCGATGTAAGCAGCAAAGAGGTGTTTATTGCGAGCTAGCTCAGTCCTCCGCGCGCACACAGCAACTGGTGACGTTGAGAGGACCTGAGCCCAGGGTTTGCAGCAGTTTTATACATTCTTTAGAGAAGGCAGGGACCCCCACATACATCATAGCATCTCTTAGCAAATCATCACACACTGCCGGAAAATCAAATAACAACTCTAAAACATGATTAGCACATTCACTGGCAGGAACAAGTTGGGTAAGGGTGATTGGTCAGTACAAAAGGGGTATTCATTTGAACTGATTGGTTTAAGCCAAGAGGGGTGTATGTGCTGAACTACATGGTTTCCCAACATGTTATCAACCACCATAAACTACTGGGAGGGTCATCTGGCATCCCAGGTATTTCCCTGTCTCATGCTGATTGGTGGCTGCTAGGGGGTTGCTATGGATCCCCACCTAGCCTGACTGAGTCAGGGACACCTGGGCAGTAGATCTCTCCTGTTATTTGTAGGTAAACAACTTAGCAGGGTGGGAATGTGCCTAGGAGTGCTCTGTGGGTCTTTCCAAGGACAAAGGTCATGTCCCTTCCTTGGACAGGCTTTGCTCTGAGATAGAGGCTGGTTTTTCAATGCAACTAAATCAATCAGGGTCACTCCAAGTGAATCTGGGCTAACTAAAGACACAGACATAGAAAGTACCTTTTTCTTTGGGTTCAGTGACTGCTATTCAGCCACAGCTCCCACAAGGGGGGCAAGGCAGGCAAAAGAAGAGAGGAGGAGCACGCTTCAAACCCAGGTTTTATTAATGGGGGGAGCTAATCCATGAAAAATTCTATCCAAAAAAGGGCAAAAGGGTAGGATTACAGCAAATAAGTGGGTGTAATTCAATCCCATCAGGTGATGCCCTCTTATAGAGCTGTTACCTTTCTTAGCAAAGTGGAGGTGAAGTCCAGTTGCATTGCAGAGTGCAATACCAGTGCAATACCTCTTTATTCAGGACTTAAAGGTGTGTACATAGCTCCTCTCCAGGGCAGCTCCCAACAAGGATGTGGCTCAGTAGTCAAGTGCCCCTGAGTTCAATCCCTGGTACCAAAAAAAAAAAAAAAAAAAGATGTAACAATTGTAAATATGTATGCTGAAATAATGGAACATCCACATACATCAAACAAAGCCTTCTCAATTTCAAAAATCAAATAGTATTATTTCAGCACAATAGAACTGAGTAATTTTAATGGCTTCTGTCACCACTGGATAGATCCTCCAAACAAAAACTAAATAAAGAAGCTATAGAAATAAAAAATACAATTGATAATTTAGATTTAATATATAGAATCAATGACTGAATACACTTTCTTCTGAGCAGCACAGGGATCTTCTCCAATATAGACCATGTTACTTAAGCTCTCATATATGTTGGCATGCACTTGTAATATTACCTTAATACATTTTTAGCATCTGTAGGGTTATTTTGATAGCTACCTTTCCATTGATATTAATTTTTGTGTTCTTGCTTTTCCTTAATTAGACTTATTTTTTAATCAAATCTTAGTTATATTTCTTCTCTATTTCATATATTTTTGCTCCTACTCTTATTTTTTCCTTCCTTCTACATAATTTGTCATTCTAGCTTCTTTATGATACAAGTACTTTAAGTTTTAAATGTTTATCTGAGTACTGTTTCATCCCAGATATCCTGATATTTTAAGCATTTATTATCACTTAGTTCAAAATACTTTTTATTTACTTTTCTTGTCCTTTCTTCCTTGATCTCTGAGATATTATAAGTGTGTCATTTAATTTTGAAATAGTTGACATGTGGGGGTGGGGTTCTAAATATCTTAAGATGATTGATTTCTATTGTAATAAATCATGCAGGAAACAGTCTTCATGATTTCAAATTTTTAAAAAAGTAATGGAAATGCTTTTTATATAGATTGTATTGGTTACATACATGTCAAAACTGATCAAATTGCAAACTTCAAATATGTACATTTTATTGTACTTCAATTTTACATCAATAAAGCTATGGGGGAAAAAAGATAAAAAGAGCTTTCCCCTGAATTAATATTATTAATTTATGGATTAAAAAAATTAATATTGGGGCTGGGGGTGTGGCTCAAGCGGTAGCGCGCTCGCCTGACATGCGTACGGCCCAGGTTGGATCCTCAGCACCACATACAAACAAAGATGTTGTGTCCGCCAAGAACTAAAAAATAAATATTAAAAAATTCTCTCTCTCTCTCTCTCTCTCTCTCTCTCTCTCTCTCTCTCTCCCACTCTTTCTTTAAAAAAAATTAATATTGTTGAAACATCTGCCTATCCAAAGCAATCTACAGAGTCAGTGGAGTCCCTACCAAAATTTCAATATCATTATTCACAAAATTAGAAAAACGATTCTAAAACATATTGAATTATAAAAGACCCCAAATACTAAAGCAATCTTAAACAAAAAGAACACAGCTGGAGATATCACATTCCCTAATTTCAAAATACACTGCAAAGACATAGTAATCCAAACAGCATGGTACTATATAAAAGCAGACACACAGACCAATGGACAGAATAGAGCCCAGAATAAATTCATATGTATGGTCAATTAATTTTTTATCAAGGTGCCAAGATCACACAATGGGAAAGACAATCTCCAGGAAATGATACTGGAAAAAAACTGAATCTTTACATGCAGAAAAATGAAACTGGACCCTTATCTCACATCATATACAAAAATTAACTCAAAATGAATTAAAGATTTAAATGGAAGACTAAAACTAAAAGAAAATATAGGGTTAGAGCTCCAAGGTATTGGTCTGGGCAAGCATTTTAATTCTTATTATGTGAATTCTCTAAGAAGACATTACAGAGTGTTTAAAAAGCAAGCTTTTTTTTTTTTTTTGAAACAAAGTGGATATTAATGGATATATTCTATGTAAAACTAATGTGCCAAATGCCGCAAATCCATCTAAGGTAGCTTTCTCAGATTAGAAAGATCTTATCTAAGAAATACTGAGTCATTTAGTAACCCAGGTCACTCACTGCTCAACTCTCACTGTGCTTTAGAGTTAGTTCATTGCCATGAACCTGGGAATAAACAGATTATCCCTAAGGCTGTAGTGCATGGTGAGGTATACTATGTGCATGACAAAATCTGCAGGGTACAAGTCAAAACTGGAATTATCTACCACAGCAGCAAGCTGAGTAAGTAAAGACCAGAAAATCCTGCTCTGTTCCCTTTCTGATGTCATTGACACCCTTTTTTTTTTTTTGAGAGAAGAGATTCAGACACAAAATTAATGATTCTACCACACATTCTTGGATGCCCTTGCTTTTCAATAGAAACTATATGTGGTTCCTGGGGAAACAATGTGGCTCTGTTATAACAAGTTTCATTGTATTTGTTGCACTGTATTATTATTACTTTTACAGTTATATTATCAATATATCATACAAAGTAGTAAAACTTTAGTCAGTAAGGAAAGACAGATATAGGCATAATAATGAACCTTCTGAGAAACCACAGACCCCAGATAATCTCACATCAAACCTCTAAAACATATTCTAGAACTCTTCCTTTTCCACTATTTCTACTATTCTAGAATAGGGCTAGCTTCTAGAAACAGGAAAGAATACCACTAATTGGAGTCCCTTTGAATGTTACATACAATACGAAGGATAGTTACTTTATGTTGCTTGCTACATGGGGAGAAAAAAAAACGTTTTTTGCCCCATATTGAATATCTCTCCATTGTATTGTATTTTTCATTTTGGTTGACATTATCATTTCATATATTCACAGAAATAAAATTTGGTCCCATTGTGGAATTGAAAAATCATTTGAAATCAAGTGGCAATTCAAATCACAACTGGAAACCAAATGAAAATCACTTAAGAATTCAGCAAACATTTTATCGTTTGCCAGTAAAGGTGAATCATGACACTAAATCCTGTGAAAATGTATCAGGTTTCCTCTTTCTTTATGCTTTGCTGCGCTGATGACATCAGCATCTCTGTTTTGTAGGGCAAGGCTCTGGGGCTCTCCTTCTTTCACACATGCTCTTTCACAACCCAAAACCTTAAGGCCTCAGTGCTCTGAGCAACCTGACTATTCCAGGTCACAAATCCAAATGCAGAGGTAAAACTTGCTCTCTGATGCCCATGACAAACCCAACACTTAAAATTTTTAATTGTATACCTTGGCAGGGATTCCTAGTCAGACCTGATCTCAACATGATTAGTTGTCACTCAATGAGACATATTATTAGTAAGTCCTTTAAAGTTCTGTAGTTTCATTTCTGAGTACGGATTAGTAACTTGGATTCAGAACTAAAGGACACTAATCTTTTAGATTCAGAACTAAAAGATCCGGTGTTTGGAGGGATAGAGATAATGTTAATTCTGCTAACTCTCATTCAAGATTTCCTCAAAAAAATTTTCTCCAGATAAGCAAAAATATAATCCCAAATTAAAGTCTTACCATGAGTGCCAAATGTATTATGTAAGTATGAAAGTATTTGTAAGAAGAGGAATAAAAATGAAAAAGAAAGAGAAGAGTAACCTAAAAATTAGATTATTTTCATCAACTAATTTGTCCTATGAAAATAATGGTTAATAACTGATGGTTAAAATAATAGTTAATAACTAATGGTTAAAATAATACTCATATATGGATTTTAAATAGTTACGGAAATTTCACACAATATTTAATTATGCCATTTTTGGGCCTCCACCTTTATTCTTCAGGAAGACAATACATTATAATAATCATTATGTGTCATATCAATACACATGCACTCATAATTTTTTCATTATTTAAATTTCAGTATAATCTCTTAGGCTCCTTGGGAGAAATTAAAATGTATATATATATATATATATATATATAATTAATATTTTTGAAAACCATAGTCTTTGTGATCTCAATTTCCCCTGTCATTTAAATTGTAAAAGAATATCTTAAAAGAATTTTGAAAGAATCAAATTAAAGCACCTATTTTCTCTATTACAGCTCTAGACCCCAATATGTTAAGATTGACCACACAAAGAAGTAAAGCATCCCTCATAAAATAACTTTATTAAACATTCATTCTTAAGGCAGATGGTATGGTTGAAAAAAATGAAAACTTAAGATAAAAGAGACCCTAGTTCTAGACTTCACTCTGCTAAAAATAACAATATAAGCTTAAATTTTTGTTTTCTTATCAGTAAAACAAGAACAGAATACGATAAAATTTTCCATGAAAAGATTTTTGAATGGGCTGGGGATGTGGCTCAGGCGGTAGTGCGCTCGCCTGGCATGCGTGCGGCCTGGGTTCAATCCTCAGCACCACATACCAACAAAGATGTTGTGTCCGCCGAGAACTGAAAAATAAACGTTGAAAAATTAAAAAAAAAAAGATTTTTGAATATGGATTCCATTCTCCAACAAATTAGGGAAATTAGGCATTTCCATTGGATATTCCCAGCATGTACTAACATGCTTGAGATTCTGGGAAATCTTGAATTAATGAGTATATTTAACTTTTAAATCAGTATTTCTACAAGTGGATAGATTCCTTTAAGCATCCCTTAGATGAATACCCTTCAGGGAAATACTAATGATAGCCTTCCACCTTAAATGTACCTTATCTTATCACTAAGATTTTGTCCCATGAGAATGAAGAAGCGTAGCATATTAGTCACTGACCTCAAGGAACATATATATACATATTCATAGAGGCCTTCTATGCATGAAAACTTAAGGCCACACACAGGATTACTTTTCATCTTTTTTACAAGATCCCACTAACAACTAGAGTTGTTAGATGTGACTAAGAAAGATATCTTTCTGAAGGCTTCTATGGGAGGCTACACAGTGGAGTTGAACAGTGTAGAATCCAGAACCAGATGCAACTGAGTTTGCATTTTAGTTCTGCCACATACTGGCTGAATGAATTGAGCCTTCTTTGTCTTCTTATCATTCAAGGAGATCATAATGCCCATTTTAATAGGTACAGTTTTATGTACATATGCATGTATTGAGATATACTTATTATAAAGGCCTCATGATAGTCAGTGAATGACAACTATTATGAGCAGAATTACCTGAAATACTTTCTAACCAAGTAAATTGACTAGAAAAACATAAAATATACAGTCTATTTTGTTCTACACCTTGACATGTTCCAAAAGTACACACCTATGGACCTAGCAAACAAATGGTCTGACTCAAAATGTCTGATGCTGGTATTCTCTGTGGCCTTAGATACTTTCTTCAGAATCTGACCTAAACGTATGCCCCGGAGTTTCGCCTAGTACTGGTGGTGTGAACAAGGTTCCCCATATGAGGACTTCCACACAAGCACCATGACTTTCATTTGTAATTTTATCATGGGATACCTGTAGGAAAAGAGTAGAGGAAAGGGGGCAGGGCATGAGCTCTAAAAGGGGAAAAAATGTATTGCTATTAACATCAACAGGGACAAGGGAAGGAAATATGTGATTCCTGCCTAGTTACTTAATCCATTGAAAGGAACAGGGAGACGAGAAAGAGAGTGCATCTTGTGCTATAGAGAGCTTTGATATCAACTGTGTGCCCATCAGTACACAACTTAAGTATTAATACACTGAAGACTTAGAGTGTCTTATATAAAAATGGACAAGTACACTCATGAACCCAAAGTACACTCAAAATCAATGTCATTTGTCTTAGAATCCCGTTCAGATCCCGCCCTGTTACAATAGATTTTCATAGGTAAGAGTCATTGAGCACTGAGTCCGGTCCAGTATTCAAAAAGGCAAGGAATAACTGTTCCTGTCTTACCTGTCTCTGAAACTTCCTGCAAATTTTTTTTTACCTAAAAGTATTGGTACTGACATAATTTAATTAAGCGTGTGTGAAACTGCAGTGTTCCAGAATCTGAAATTGACATAATTAAAGTGAAATGCAGAGTGTGCATCTCCGATACCATTTTTAATGTCACACTCCATCACTCCTGTTTAATATCAAATCACAAGAGATATTTTTCTTCTTTTAATTGCATTTTATATGGCCTTCATCATTGGCCTCAAAGCAATTAAACTGCAGGAAAAAAAATTACTGAAGCAAGGAGTAAAGTCTAAAATAATCAGGTTCACTCAGTGATGTCTCTACAGATAAATCACCATTCATGGTTTCATTCTCCTACAGCAATTCCACTCTCAAAAATGTTTATATTAAAAGTGAAGGGCCTGAAAAAAAGATTTTTACTTTCAGAATATTTATGAAAATCCAGCAAAAAGAAAGCTATTTCTAACGCTTTATTGAATAAAGTGTTATCCTTTTGGTAGAGCAATGTTATTAGGAAATCCTATAAATCAAATGAAATTTGTCAGTTTTCATCATTGTTCGCACATGTGTTTCATGGACTACATGTCCTTTATAGTTTTTCGCCTCAAGACTTAGAGTTGATGGTTGGCAGGAAGGACCTGAGAATCTGAATTCTGGTCAATAAGAAACTTTACCTATGATATTTTTTATATGAAGTTGAATTATATGAAACTGACATTTTTATAGATTAAAAGTGGTCAAATCCAAGTCATTTCTCATAATTCAACCAAGTAGCAAATGACTTTCGAATGTAGGTACCATGATGTGTCTGGAAATAACACAGGATCCTTTTTCCAGTAAATCAATGTGAATGTGTATTTTGGAGCTATCCTCTGATCAAGGGCTTATCTGTTTGACATTCTCTAATTTTCCCTATCTGCTTACTCCCTTATCCTCTGAGTGGATAGTTTCCATTCTATTGATCCAACAGAAATTCCTATTCCCCAAATCACCAATGAGCTTTCAAGAACTTGGGCGATCACTCTCTCCTTTAAAATTGTTCCTTCTTGGTTTTCTCCAACTTTTTTTTTTTTACTTACTTTTCCAAATTTTTCTCCATTTCCTTTCACCACCTAAATGAAGATGTGTTATTAGTCTCCATTTTCTATCATTTTTATTGCTCAATAAACACATTCCTTCACCTTAGTAAGCAGGATCCCTTTTTGCTTTCTGGTCACTGAAACATACACACAGGACTGAGCCCTCCCCTGGTCTTACTCAGTGAAGAAGATGCTTTGTGAACCCCCTCCTTGTTCTATTCACCTGTTCCAAGGACATTGCTCCATTAACCCATCACTTGCCCTACATACAACCCCTTCCTTTAGGTGTTTCCCCTCACTACATAAATTTGCTTGATATTTTTCCTATGATATAAAAAATTCCCAAATCTATGCCAGCTTCTAGCTACTGCCCCTTTTTTCATTCATAATCCAGCTTAAATATTTTAACCTCCTTTTCATCTTTATCTGTTATGAATGTTATTACCTAACGTCTTAGGTTGGGCATCCTCGGAAACAGGCTCTGATAGGAATGAGTTGAGAGTCGTTTATTTGGAAGATAATCCCTGCTAGAGGAACAGGAGAGTGAGTTGGGGAGGGAAGAGCCAGTGCAGGATGTGCTAATGCACAGGTTACTACTGTGAAAAACTGAGATTCAAATCTCATTCGGCACCTTTGGGAAACTGCTAGACTATGTCTTAGAGGTTTTCCTGTCCGGGGTTGGGAATACTGGGGTACTCACCAATCAGCTCCCATCCAAAGCCTTGAGGGCTGCTCCTGGGGGCATTGGCTCTCTGGCATGTTGAGATCCTTGGTCAGTTCCAAGGCACAGCTGTGTTTCTGATAATGACGGAACCCTCAGGGAAAGTAACAGGTGACTGCAGTAAGAAACTGGCAGCAGGTAGGCCATGCTGAATGCCAAGGGGAGGGGCACCGAATGCATCTGCTTCTGCCACACCCAGTGTAATTAGCTTCCTGCTTTCACTTCTTTGCTTTACTGGTGAGAGCCCATGATTTCAAAATTGCCAAACCTACAAAGTTCTTTCTTGTTGACATTCTTATGGGATGTTCCTGCTGGACCTTTGTGTATGTAGCATTTGGCTCCCAATCTTGTTCTCCTTAATGTTCTGACTTCCTTGCCTTCTAGAAGCCACTTTTTTCTCACTGCTTCTACCTCTACATCATTTTAGCTTCTTATTTAGTCTTGTTGCTTCCAACTGTTGATGCTTAGCAGGGCATTAGATTTCTCATTCTATTTGCTATTTCTGATATATCCTTTCCAATTCCAAACTCTGACAGCCACCAACATGGGGCTGTAGGTCCCACCCAGACTCCTCTCCAGAAGTCACAGACATAATTTAAGACTGCATCCCACCCTGCCTCTCTCCTCAGCACTGGGGCATCTTAGCCAGAGTGTGACAGGAGTATTCAAACCCAACATCCCAGAATAGAAGAATTATCTTCCTGATTCCAACTTAGCCTTCTTCACCTCAGCCAGGATTGTCACTATCCTTCCAATTGCTCAGGGTAAAATGACATACTTTATTTTATCATGTTCTATTTTTTCTCTCATGTTCCACAGTCCATCAACAAGTCCTATTTGCTCTACTTTCAAAATATACCCAGAATCAACCACTGCCCTCCACCTCCACTGCATTTGCTCCTTGCCACCAACATTACTTTCCTAGATGAGCCTTCTAACTATTTTCTGCTCTTGCTTCTTTAGATAGTTTTTTCCAATGGAAGCCTGGGTGATGTTATTATAATATTTCCAATCTAGCTGGGCATGGTGGTGCATGCCTATAATCCCAGCAACTCAGGAGGCTGAGGCAAGAGGATCTCAATTTCAAGGTCAGTCTCAGAAACTTAGGAAATCCCTAAGCAACTTAGCAAGATCCTGTCTCAAAAAGGGCTGGGGATGTGGCTCGATGTTAAGTGCCCACCAGGTTCAATCCCTGGTATCAAAAAAAGATTATGTCCAATTTTGTCATTTCTCTATTAAAATCCCTACAGTAGGTCCTCTTTTTCTAAGTAAAAGTCAACATCAATCAGAAGCCCAGAAGTTCTACATAAGCTAGTCTCTGTTACCTCCCTGACATCACTTCCTTTTACTCTACCCCTGCTGCAGAAATACTGGCAGTTTTTGTGACTCTTCTAATATCCTAGGCAGGTGTGTTCCACCCCAGGGCCTTTGTACTTAGTGTTCCTTCTGCTTCTTGCCACTCAGCCTAGAACAATTGGTTCCCAGATACCATTCATTGCTCCTTTGCCTGCTCTGGTCTTTGTTCAAATATTACCTTATCAGAAAGGCCTTCCCTGACCTTAATATAGTATAGCCCACTTTCCAGCTTTCTTTATCTTTATATTACCATCTAACAGCATATATTGCACTCATGAATTTTATTTTCTATCTCCCACTACTAGGATCTAGATTTCAGCCGAGTTCACTGATCCATTCCCAGTACCCAAAAAGTTCTATCATGTAATAAGTACCCAAGAAACATTGGCTATAATTATGTCCTCCCTGAAGCCTAATTACCTAGAACCTATGAGGTCTCTCATAAATGCTTGTTGAAGAGACTAGTACATTTGTAATTAAATATATTCCCTTTTAAATTCTGTACCGAAGCAATCCTAAGATCACTATAAAGATAACTTTAGTTTCTATTCCTAACTTTTCTTCCAAGTCTTAATGTTGCAATATCAACATTTGTTTATCTCCACTTAGATGGTGGTCTGACACCTCCAACTCAGTCTAAACTAAACTCATCTCTTGACACTTGCCCCTCCTAAGCTCTATTAGCTTCCTAATGCTTTTATTAATGCTCAATATGTCATCTCTCTGTCACCAGTAATTTTTGTTTGCACTGACTTCTATATCTCTATATGCAAATATGATCAAACCCTGGTAGTCTACCTGTTGATAGTTCTCTATTACATCTTTTTCCTTCATTTGCATGAATAATGTCTTTGTCAGTCCTCAACTGTCTCTATATTCTCTCAGTTGTATCAGGCATTCAGTTCTCTATACATCTTATTCTACACTAGAAAACACTATTGAGTCCCCAATGTGCCAGGTACTTTGCCCTTATTTAACAGAATGTTCTATAAATGGTATCCCTTATCAAAAGAAATGTCACTTGATAAGCCAAATTGATGAAGTATGTTTTGTTCCACCCCTTTAACTGTATTACTACCATTATTTTGTCTGACTGGGTAAGCAAAGCCAATTCTTTAATTCACACAAATCAAACTTCATTTAAATTTTCTTGATGCTAAAGTCAGTGGACTCATAAATGTACTCACCATCTATGCACATACTTCCCCTGGGAATGTGTTCCATTGAATTTTGTAGATATTATCTCTTCTGCTGACAAATCGAACAACTATGGTTAACAGTATGTATTTCTGTTGCTACTGGTAAGGGACATCATTCAGCTCAGCATTTCGTGGCTCAGTTTTTTCCATCATATCATGCACCTGCTCATATCATGTCCTCAAAGAGCCACTTCTAGGAAACTCACTAAAGCTTATCTACCTGCCGGTCTTGGTTCCTCTCTGATTCTGATAAGGGATTATATTCTATATTATTAGATTTATTTACATAATTATGCTATCCCCCTTCCCAAAGCCTTATGTTTAATGACAACAAGATATGTATTTTTGTAATCTCTGTTATCTGAAACATTGTTTGAATATATAAGGGAGTTTGGGAATGTTGACAGTAATTAAATTGAATTTCTTACAAGTTACATTCATTTGGAATACATCATATAACTGGGCATTAAAAAGGCGGTTTTATTACATGGATAATAGAAACTATAAATAAAAAAAATAGCATTGTATTTAAGGATGAGTCAAGGGGTTGTTCCTTCATTGATTCAGCCAATAAGAAGGGAAAATGCCTCTGTGTTTAAGAATTAGTATTATAACATCAGCTCCCCCTATTGATCATTTTAGAAATGACATGGCATTTGAAGCTATTTTGAGCAGCCACAAAAATAGGAGCCTCCTTCCAAAAGAAAATATTAATAAAAGTAAATTAAAGGGCTGGGGTTGAAGCCAGAATTAGATAGGCAATCAGTAGAGATAAGTAAATCGAGTCAGGTCAGATCCAGGAGGCCAATTTGAGTGAGTTGGAGAAGTTGGAGACTGTCCCATAAGGGATTTAAATGCCTTCAGAGCCCTTCCCTACCCTATCAAGATAATCTGCCCCTGCTCCAACCTGTTGCTAAGGAAACCTGTCCCAGGAATTGCCCCTCCCTACGTTGAGTTGTAAAAGTTGTTAATTAATGTGTGGGAATTCTGCTCCATCCTGCCCTTCCCCCTTCAGCCTACCTGGTTCCCACCTTTTTGCCATCTCACCAAGCATTTCCTGGACCCAGTCAGTGCAGGAAGGAGAAAGATAAGGGGAAGAGAGCAAGAGAACAAAGGAAGCCTAATACCTCACTTCTTGGGAAACAGGATACCAACTATGGCCCCCTAGCACGTGTGAGGCACTGGGTTCAATCCTTAGCACCACATAAAAATAAACAAATAAAATAAAGTTATAAAAATTGATTAATATTTTTTTAAAAAAATAAATTAAACTAGTAGAGAAACATGAAATTTTATTTCTTTGAAACCAACATGTTGATGATATAAGGGAAATTTAACAATATGGTTTGAAGTGCAATCTCATGGTGTCTCCTTTCCTGTTGATTATTATGATCCACAAACATATACTGTGTTTAGGAGAATCAGTGGTAATGGAATCTAACATAAACCATAATAATAATAAACATGATTCTAGGCTCTCTGAAGATAGTGGTTGTCTTGTTTTAGTTGGCATAATCTGGACAAGTAGTCTTCAAGTTTTGGCATGCATCAGAATTCCCTGCAAGTCTGTTTGCAATTCACCATGAGATGGAGTAAGAATGTACATTTCTCTAGGGACCAGTAATCTAGGCAATTGCTACTCAAATATGATTTGCAAGACAGAAGTGTTAGCTTCACCAGGGAGACTACAAACACACAGAATCTCAGGTCCATCTCAGACTTAATAAATAAGATTATCTTTAAATCACTCCCAGGTGATCTGTATGCACATTTAAGCTTGAGAGGCATTGGTTTAGAAAGCTGGCATGGAAGACATTTTGGGTCAGGTAAAACGTATTTTAAGCTTTGCAGGCTGCTGGTCTCTGTTACAAGTATTCAACTCTTCCATTGTAGCACAGCAGGAGCCATAGATTGAATAAGGTTGTGTCACAATAAAACTTTATTTACAAAGGCAGGTAGTGTTATGCTCGAATTCGGGACCCCCAAAAGATCACCAGAGACCACGATCGATGTAAACAGCAAAGAGGTGTTTATTGCAAGCTAGCTCAGTCCTCTGCGCGCGCGCACACACAGCAGCTGGTGACACTGAGAGGCCCCGAGCCCAGGATTTGCAGCAGTTTTATACATTCTTTGGAGAAGGCAGGAACCCCCACATACATCATAGCATCTCTTAGCAAATCATCACACACCGCAGGAAAATCAAATAACAACTCTAAAACATGATTAGCATATTCACTGGCGGGAACAGGTTGGGTAAGGGTGATTGGTTACTATAAGAGGGGGATTCATTTTGTAAGGGTCCCGCGAAACGTCTCCCATCTTATAACCCTTGACAACCACCAACTGCAACTGCCTCTGGGTTTATCTATCTTGAGCATTTCATATAAATGCAATTTTATATATATATATATATATATATATATATAATTTATATATATATTATATATAAATTTTATTATATATATTAAATTTATATATATATAAATTTATATATATAAATTTTATATATATATATACACACACATATATATACATACAT